TAAACTAGTTTTGGCCAAATGATTTTTCTTTTCCAAAAACAATTCTTGAGCACTTTTATCAGTGATTGTATCTTGGGGAACATAATGAGCTGGCCTGGATGGATAGCAATACACTGAATACTTGTATAACCTCTTGAATTACAGAGGATGTAGTATTTGTCTAATACTATTTATCTGAAAGAATATTTAAAAATCATAACTTTAATATAAAGCAAAGAGTGTCATTCTTTATTGATGGGGGTTTAAAATGTCACAAAGCTTTGCAGCGATATTTAATAGTCCTAACAGAATTTCAAATATGAGTACCCCCTTGCCCTTTAATGTAACAATCCCAGTTTTAGAAAGTGAGCCTGTAGATGTATTGATATACATCAGCAATAACAAAAGCATAAGATTATTTTGTTCTGTTTGTCACAACTTTAGACTGCCAACATAAATATTCATTGGTAGAAAGCTGTTTATATAAATTATAGGATACATACTGTAAACACAATAGAATGTGAATGCTTTCCCTTTTTTCATAAGATCTTCAAGATATGTGAAATGAAACAAAAAGGTACAGAAAAGTGTGCAGGATATGCTGATATTGTAACAATAGGAGAGGAAACTTGGCCTTCTGTATACACAAAACTATCCCTTCAAGGATTAATAACAAATTAATAAGAATGAAGTTCTTGAGAATTATGAATATGGGCACAGAATTAATTGAATAATTCATCTCATATAGTTTTATTATTTCCCGTGTCTGAAAGATATGCTGTAAAATACAAAAACGTAATTGCAGACAGTTCAAATTTAATGTGGCATTTATTTTACTAAAAACCACTGTGCTATGGATCTAATAAATTACAAAGTCTGTGAGGGAAAATAGACTTAGGGGTATAGCACTCAAAAATTTTGTCATTGGCACATTGATTTAAAAAGAAAGCCAGTAAAAATTTTTATGCAAGTGAAATGACTAAGAAATGTGTATATGTATTATTATTATTCAAATAACATAAGCATATATATGACTTTACTTGCAAAGACTTGGCAAGTAAAGAAGTGGAGCAGCCTGGACTCAAGCTGGCCCTCCAACATGACATGTCATCACTGGCGGTGACTTAACCTGCTGCGCTGCATGTCGGATCTCTCATAGAGATTACCCACGTAGACATGATTTGTGTGAGTGTCTTGCATTCTAGCTCTGCAACTATCACTTCCAGGGGAAGTATATTTCCTAACAAAATTATCATCAAAGTAAAATCTAATTTTTAAATTTCACAGTATTTATTAAAAATTGCTTATAGAATAAAATTATCATATATGTATTCTGGGAAAAATAAAAAAAATAAATTTGATAAAAATATGTAACTACCATTTACATATTTATTCTTTGCTAAGATATTTTTGTCTGTATACATCTGTATTTCAGAGAAAGAGAGAGAAAAGCAGGAGATAGAGTACTCAAGAGAGAGAAGAGTGCAGTTTTTGTTTTGAACATTGGGTTCTTCTCCACATTGTTACACTTTGATTTTTAATAATTAGTGTGAGCTTATGGTAGTTTCTGATATAGTGTCAGATGAGTGAATATTTATTCATTGATGACTAGTGTTATAGTTTTCACCATATGTAAAGAATGCACGCTTTGAAAACTCATCTCAAATATGCACCTCTGACTATTCTCTTTGAATAACATATTGAGTACAATAACTAGGCCAAATGGAATACTGATTTTCCTTACATAATTGATGCCTTACCATTAAATATAAATTTTACTTTTGTCTCATTATGTAACTGATTTCTATTGACACTATGGGTACACTTTTTATTTCAACTAAATTACAAATGATATTTTATAGATAAAACACTAACAAACATTCCTAAGGAAATATATATAGATAAAATAAAACGTATGTTCTCAATGAAATTGTAACAAGACCACAATTACTTTGTCAAACAATGTACATGTTTTCTGTGATGTATATTGACTTAATATGCAGTTTTTGTAGTAACTGAATATTGAATATTGAATTATTAATATTTTGAATATACATATTGATGCCACATAGTTCAAATCATTTCTATACCCTACAATCATTAGACTAATAAAATAGGGTAGCATTTCATTCAATAGACTATAATTTGTGAAATTTATAATTCATAAAAAATGGTATAAAAATGAAAACACAGATAGAGCTAAAAAGACATCACATGAACTCATTGTGTGATAGCTTCCTAGATATACTTTAATAAAATGTTTAATAGCTTGACAGGACTTTAGGTTATTTCAGGACTTTTTTTATATCTCTAATCTTCCAATATCCATTATACTTCAAGGTAGAATAGCACACATTTTTAATGTTAGAAAATATTTGTTGTGTTAGCAAATTAATTGGTCAATGACAATATACTATTTATACCTAGTTCTTCCCACTAGGGATTTATTCTTAAGAGTTTACTGACTTCATGTTTGTATCTGGCAACCAGGATCGTAATTAAGAACTCCATTTTGGTATCCAGTAGCAAAAGAGATCACACTGTTTTCTTGGCTTCCCCTTCACAACACATTAACTGCAAATTCCAGCCTATAAGGCTGGATTCTTAAACAGGTATGCAGATAGAATTCAAAGAGTTAGTACATTTGGATGGAAAATAAATTACACATTTACTTGCTTCACTGATCTTCTAATTAAAGTATAATTTTTACTTCAAGCATAAAGATACCAAAAAAAACCCTGATTTTTTCGTCAATAAAAACCACATACATCTATGACATGTGATATGCTATGAATATTTAAAAATATTGCCATTATCATTACTTTTCAAAATGTTGGAAATTGTTAGTCCCAGTGCTTAATGTTTAAGTACAAAAACATTGTGTATGTGTGTGTGTATCAATGTACATACCTGGATACTAAAATATATATTAGAATATTTAAACATTTTATTATGATGGATTTTATTTGTGTTTCATTTTAAAAATTTGAAAACAACATTCTGAGAAAGAGGTTATAGGGTTATAGCCTTCAAAGAAGTTCTGGTTTCTTCTACTGACTCTCTGTAATGGCTATGAGGTACTTTGCTTATTGGGATTATAGCAGCATCATATGATATTCTCCATACAACACATTTCACTCTAATTAGTTCCTCCTGGAGATTCAGAATCTTAAGTGTATGAGGAAAACATGTGCTGAGAACGAGGTCTTAGAGCTCCATTTAATTCACAGCATGTATATGGCTCTATATTTTTGTCTAAATCTTTATATCACATTGGTCCGTCTAAAACATGCTGGTCTATCCCTGTTTTCATATGTTCACAAATAGTAACAAGCAATATTTCAATCTTATGAAAGTTTAAATATAGATTTCTTATTTTGCATTTTTCAGTCCAAATTATATCTAAGAATTTGCATGGAATACATTTCCTTTTTCAAGACTAAGACTAATAAAATTACTACACATAGGGACTTATTAAAAGCTGGGGAAGTTTCTGGCAGGTGTTCACTAGTTGCATTGCTTGGTATACTGAAGAATGAAACCTAATGTCCATTGGCCATTTCTACTCCCTGAAACTTCTAAATATACTCATGAATTACTTATGAACACGAAGCACATGAAAGTCATGACAGAAACATTTTTCTCGGAATTGACAACATACTTATCTTCTCATATCAACACTCCCTCATCTCCAAAGTTATCCTTAAAAAAGTAGCAAACTGATGTTTCTTTCAGCCCAATTTAAAACAAATATTCTATTTTTCAGCTTCATGGTCTCCCACAATTGTATAGAAAAGATTTGTTAAATTTACATCAACTATGCCTACCTTAAAATTTATATTCACAAGCTAATACTTTTGACACTGTATTGTTATTAAAAATAGTATCATCCAATTATTTCATTGATGTTTAGTCATAGTTGTGTTATTGTTTTTTTCACTTGTAAGTGAAAAGGACCAGTAAAATAAATCTTGCTTTTGGGTTTATTTCATAATCACTCATCATTTACCAGTAGCAATAGATTCTGGGTGCAAGCTACATCTTTAATGTGCTTTAGTATCTGAGAAGTGCAATAAGGATTCCACTAAAATTGCTGATTAGTTTTGCAAATAAGGATATAAATGGTGAAGAAAAACAGAAAAAGGATGAATAAGGTGCTAAAAAGCAGAAGACATGTAAAAGAAGGTGAGAATATTCAGAAAAGAGAAAAAAGAGAAAAGTGAAAGAATAAAACGGAAAATGAGAAAGAAATCATGGAGAATAATAGAAATAAAAACAAAAACAAAAAACAAAAACAAAATGAAATATCCAAGACATGAAATGAGTGAAAGGTGGAAATAAAAAGTTAACAAAAGTAGTACAATTACATCATGTAGCATTCATTTATAAAATGAAAGTATTATAAATAGAGATAAACTATAGTGGCTACAACTTGAGGTTCTATAATAGAAAGACATGGCATTTTGTGAAAAATACTCGTAAATAATATTGAACTTAAGAAAATTGTGATTTAAACTTTATAGAAACTTAATAACTTTCTAGAAATGTTTAAATAATCCATTTATTTATGTAAATGGTATATCTTGGCAAAAATAATTTGTTTTTGAGAATCAGTTTGATGGAGTTCTTTAAAAGTTTACTGAGTTCATATTTTTGAATCATGGTGAACATAAATGTCTCTATGAAAATACACTGCAGGGATAATAGAAATCACTAGTGGTAACTAAATTTTGCTAGTAATGTTAAAATGCTTATATTTTAAGTAAGCTCTAAGATGAGGTTCTCACGGTACTATTATATTTACAAGAAATCTATTTACCTAAGTAAATGTCACCTTGGGGAACCATGGATTATACAGAAGAAAAATACCCATATTTCATATTTTATAACAATATAATATTAGTTTTTTAACTTATAAAAACATAAAATAAATGCAGGTGTTCATTCCTTTTACTAACCAGTGCTAAAAGAACAGATAATTTTTAAAAGAATACACATTTTACAAAAGCAATTATCCATTTTTATTGTTTACATTGCACTGAAAATTTACATCATACTTTTACAAAGTTTTTTCATAAAAATATACTTCTTTACAAAAGTGTATGCATTAATATAAGAGGAGTAGCCAGTTGCAGAAGAAACATTGTTTAAACAAGATCTTAAATGTATTAATCTTATCATTAGTGAATGAATCATTTTTATTGCAGTCATTTGAATAAACAAGAATAAATAACTGATGGCATAAAATTTAAAACCGCATCCTGTCTGTAGAGTACAATGTTGAGAAAATTGTATGAATTTCCAAAACAATGTATCTCAAAGTGGTTTACAAGAAATTCGCTAAGTGTTGTAGAGAGATAGATCCAAGCAGTGCTCCTGGGTGCAATGGTTTCTCTTAGGCACTCTGTCTCATGACACGAAAAGTAGAGACTGTTCACAGAGTTATCCACATTTGAAAGGGACAACAACAGAGTTCACACTGGGTACAGACTTTTATTCAATGAAATAAAACATGCTCTTAAAGGAAGACAGTGACCTAGTAAATAAAATTGCTGGCAATGCTGTATGATACAGTTGTAAATGAGCCACCAGTAATCTACAAGAGTATCTTAATCTGACAATGAAAGAAACCGCTGTATCTGAAACTTGCCTTTTAAAAATGTAAATATAGATATGAAAACAAGATAAATTCACAACGTTTAGAAACAAATTTATGTGGGTGGTTTGAAAGATTTTTTTTTTTTCATTCATGTTAGGGAACTGGATCAAAATATATTTCTAACTCATTGATATGTGAAGTTAAACAACGTCAAAAGCAGTGTTAAATATGGAGGCTCACCTGGAAGGAAATGTAGATATATCATAAACTGAATACAATAGATTACCAATAGGTCTTATTTGATTCTTTCAAAAACATTAAAAGGATGGTAATAAGTGTGGTGTTTCATGTGACTGCAAAGTCATCCTTACAGATAATTTTTGCCAGCCAAAATGGTTTGTGGATGACAAAACATCAAAGCAAGGAATTAACACTACCCTGTGGCTCACTGAATAAAACTGGTTACTCCGAAGTGGAGAAACTGAGAGGGTAACACAATGACCTTGGCATTTTTAGTCTATGGCAACCCATCTAAAAGAAGAATAGAAATCTGATACACAAGGACAAAAATAGAGTGGGCGGTCTTATCTTTTCTGTGGCATAAATTACTCATAAACATTTAAAGGCATGACTCAATCTTAAATAAAAATGAAAATAGAGAAAGAATGCTTCCATTAACGAGTGGATAGGCAGTAGTGTGAAATGAAATGCAGACTTATGTGCATGATATAGCTCATGACAGTTAAAGTCAGTGATCTATTGACTTTTGTAAGTATAGCTCTTATTTTCTACCCTATATCTTTTTTTTTAAACCCAGTTCCTCTAATATAGTTTATAAAGCACAGAAATACTGATAGTGGATGCTCCTCCAATATATGCAAATAAGTTTATGTTTTAGAATAATCTCCTTTTTAAAAAAAGCAAATAAACTGTGAGTAAGCACTCTCAGAGTGCAGCCGAATTTCTGCAAAACTCTCCATGGTAAACATGAAGAAGGATTATGGTCCAGTTTATGAAAAAACACTCTTCTCTATCATTCCTCAGGAAAAGGTGACCCAGCAAGTCCTGAAAAGTGTGCTTTAATTTGTTTAGCAGTGAACTAAATGTGCACTGTTTTGTGTGTCAATTCCCAAGCTTCTGAAGGAGGCAAAGATTTGCCATGTTATACCATTGTGCAAACTGTGTTCAAGTTGGGATCAAATCGCACGGCCTTCCCTTCCACCGATTTCGCATTGGTGTCATACATGGGGTTTTCAAAAGCTGCTTGGCCATTGTTATTTTCATGAACTGAACATCCTGTGTACTGTGTTTTGGGTGCAGTCCTGTTGAGGAGAACATTAATTAGTTCTGTGTTAACTTTCTTTTAGAAACAGCAGAGTGGGACTCAAACATAATATATTCCAGTTATCACTTTTGTGCACATCATAAAAGTATTAACTGATAAACAAACATAACAAAAAACATGAAAAATTCACTTGTGACTTTTAAATCTTGAGTGACTTTAATTTTTTTAATATAATACCCATTTACATATAGCAGTAATATGAGTAATATAAATAAATGATAATATGATAATTATGGATTTTCTTATTCCATAATAATTTACTATTATGACTTGTCATTTATATAATAAATAAATTATGATGATACTTATGAATTTAAATCTTATTACTATTTATTTACTCATCAAATATTTACTGAGCTTGTATTCTATGGCAGCACCATCCTACTCATTCAATATATTAATTCTTTAAAAAGTATTCAAAATCAATGCTCTAATGGAGCTCTCATTGTAGGGATAGAAAACAGTGAAGAAATTATAGGTAAAATGATAAAAACAGTAGGTAATGAGAATTGCTATGATGGAAAGGAAAATGGTTTATATAACAAGCCTTTTACGAGAGGTTATAAGGAAAAGCATCTGTGAAGAGGTAACATTTAATCTGATATCTGAGGGACAAGAAGGAGCCAGTCATGAACTTGCGAGAGGGGGATACTACGCATTAGAGTAAGTATATACAAAAGCCTCTCATTTCTCTTTCCCTCATCTCATTGCATGTTCTGCAGACATCGGTAATATTACAAAGGCAGACTCGCCTCTACTTGTTTCTGGATCCCAATTCCAAAAAGAAGTATCTTTAAATAAAGTTATTTCTTAACTCCTTTCTTTACATCACATACTACAGATTTCAATTAAGTTCACCACAATTTACATTTGTCATATTATGTTATTTTACTATCACTAGGGCACCTGTAGGTGATTTCCATGGAAATGAAGTTTTTAGAAAGCTATCATAGGTTTCTGCTAAGTTGTTCTTAACCAGGAACATCTTCTACAATAACACAAACACAACTGGATCACATTTTTCCATTTTTTATATCAATACAACGTTATTTCCTTATAACTAGGTAAAAATCACAAAAAATGTACAAGAATTTCTCCTCTCTGCCTATAACTCTTCCTCTCAAATAAATAAATAAATCTTTAAAAATGTATATGATATTAAGTAAATCATTTTAGATATTATACTGACAATAAAAACATCAGTTTTGGAAAAAATACATTTAGCTAATATTCATGTAATCATTTGGCTACCTGCGTGTTTTTTTCATGTCAAAGAATTGTCCAAATGGTGGAGAATTGCATAGTAAAGCCTGTCACCCAGATATTGAGCAGGACTTACTGATAATTATGTACAATCATAAGCTACATCTAACGCAGATATAACATATTAACTGCAAAATCTTCAAAATCAAAAGATGATGAGAGGGTTGAAACATGCTAGTGAAGGTCTTCTGATAGTATTGTTGTGGGAGTTAAGAGGTCTAGACACAAGCCTTTTGTTAGTTCTCTAAATAAATCTGTCAGTAGATTTCATCTTTCCAATTTAAATCTTAATGCAGATCTTATACCTCTAAAGTCTCATTTTTTTAAAATCAATAGATCTTTTATTGTTTTATTAAAATACCACAAGACACAAGCCGGGTTCTTGTTTCTGTAGCCAAGCAACTTGTCGGCTTTAAACATCAGCCTGCTGAACTGTTTCTATTTCAGAGACATAGATACCATCAAAAATTTTCTGATATCCTGATTTTTAACTGCTGCCTGCTGAATCAAAGTAGTTGAATTTGAAAAAAGTTCAATGTCATTTCTTTCAAGGACTAATTCATCTTTCTGGGCTTGAGACACTGAACAGATTACAGTTGGCCTCATTCAAAGCCTTTGGATGTACTTTTCACACAAGAAATAATATTAAATAGTTTGTATAATTAGTTCTCCACCAGGAAACAATCAGGGAAAAGTCGGAAGGTTTAGGTTGAATGCCAGTGCAATTTAACAAAGCAATTTCTGTAATATATATGTGGTACTGCTTGTGTGGGCAGGTGAAATTAGGGTTTCAACACTATGGCCAAAGTTGGCACACCAAGCTTTTAAAAACCCAGAAGAAAGATGGAAATTAGAATTTGAACCACTGCAGTAGAAATATGAAATACAGGTTTTGAAACCATTTGTAGTTAAAGATCAACAAACTTACCTTTGTTTATAAAGATAAAATCCAAATCCTGCAAATATAAGTGCAAAAAAAGGCACAAGGATAGCAATGGCCACAGAACTACTGTTTGTACCATGAGGTTGATTTGAAGAATTTGAGCCTTCTGACACATTGAGTCCTACAAAATAAAAAAAAAAAAGTGATTAATATAAAATCATCTCTATTTTATATTTGATTTCTACTTGTACATTGATTTCTTCCACTCTCAAGATACCTATTTAGAAATTTACATAATCAATAAAAATAACTCATGAAACTACAACTAATTTCCACACAGTTTTGTACAATGATTTTGCTGTGAGAGATATTTTTCCAGGAAAGGATATGAGCTAAAATAAGCAGTGTCCCTGAACTCGTGAGTTTACACAATAGTAGGAAGACTTGCAGATACCCAGTGTAGACAGTAAATGTGGATTAATGCATCATGTGCTTTAGAAAAGGGAGGAATAATTCCATCTGCATACATAAGAGTATGTTCTGGTAGAAAACAGTAGAACAACAAATGGAGATAGACCTGAGATTTCATAAGCCTAGAAACGGGAAGCTGAGTGGTTGTCTGGAGGAGGTGACAAGCACTGAAGTGGAGGAGGAGGCTAAACTCATAGACCATAGCTGGATTCTGGAGGAAATAAATATCTGAAGATCTCAAAGGACTACTCACCTCAGTAAGGGTGTTTGGAAATAAATGGCCTAGTGATAAGATAAGAGGTTTAGAAAGCAGCTAGGGTAGAACGGACTTGAGGGAGTGCAAATCAGCAGCTGATACAGCAAGAAGGTTTTAGCAACAACTCCGATATGAAAGGAGGTTAAATTTGATGTAGAACATTACAAAGAGGATGAAAAGATAGACGGGGAATATTTCATAATAAAAATTAACAGAATATGTCTGGATGAAAAAGGGGTAAGATAGTATAAGATTCTAAGCAAATGGCTATAGACTTTTAATGGAAGTAGGAATTGAAAAAAATCAGGTTTGTCAATGTCTTGGAATGGGGAACAGGAAATAACTAGGTGACTGTTTTTTTCAGAAAATAATATCTCCTTTTCTATAGGCTCTCTTTTAACATGCAGTGTTTGAGACACTTTGGAGAATATTATATGAAAATATTCTGCATTAAAATACACAACAGTGCTACTATACCATGTTAATGTGTGTTTTATCCTGTTTTTAAAACTAACAATATTAGGCAGGACGTTATGTGAAATGTCATCTTATTCCTCATTTAGAGAAGGCACATTTCCAATTTTGGTAAATTTATATCTAATTAACGTATATCTTTGTCCAGGTTTAAAAAAATAGTAACTTAGTTATGTATTATTTTTTCCAGTGATTCCATTTATTTATGATAATGTTCAAAGTAATCATTTTTAAAATAATACCACATAGTACATTTTACAGCTTGAATTTCCAGGCTAGCATGACATAATAGAAGAGTATAACTTAGGAAAATTATATACCAATAGTTATATTTATAAATACCTTCCCCTAACATCATTAAATACTTATGCACATATGAGAAGAGCTAGAAGCAAAAATGAAAAATTCTATGTTTCCAATGCAGAAAATTTACATATTTGAAGACTATCAAGCCACAATAAATGCCCCATTCCTCAGTTATTTCTGTTTCAAGACCCTTTGAATTTGTTAGTGGCATTACATTTTGAAAAGAGTAAGAAAACTGTAATAATACTCAAAGTGAAAGGAAAGTATTACAGTTCTCCTGAGATAAAATAATTTACAGTATAATATTTTATCTATCTCATTTTTCTCATTTTTACTTGCTTAAGGGCAAGACAACTTGTCATGTTTATTAGAAATACGAAAAAAATGATATATTTCAGAGTTAGTACATAGAGAACAAATATATTAAAGAATATAATTATTTTAAATAGCCATGAAATATATCAATATATAGTCCTGACAATGAAGAATTCAAAATGTAGTAAGTGTACCTAATGTACAGAATACACTGTACTTTCTTATGAAATCTAAGGTAATAGAGAACCTACACAAAAACCAAAATGAATACATTACCCAGCCTTTGTAGTCCAAATTGCCCATAATCTTTCCCTTGAATAAAGCCTTGAAATACATAAGTAGCTCCATCAGGCTCAGCCGAAACCTAAACATATTTGAAAGTCCTATTAAATCTGAAGACTGGCCACAGCTATATTTTCACAGTCTTAATAAATACCCAGTTTCTTTTTGAAATAAATATTATCCAGAACTCTTTGCTTATATGACTCTTTCTCTCCTATGCGAAAAAACAGCACAGTGTCCAAATTTTCCATTACTAAAAGTGCAAGAAAAAAATTCTAATTTTAAATACTTGTGATATTGGAAAGCAAGGGATTGGATATAATTATGATTATATAGACATAGAGAATTCTTATATACTAAGAAACCTATTGTCAATAAAGGTCAATGACTGATTAAATAGAGTGAGGGAAATGGTCAATTAAAATTAAAATATAATCATATTGTTTCTTTAGGTTAGATTAGTATTCCTCATATATGCCTTCCGTCTGCTGGCTCTTACCAACCTCTTTAGGAAGATACTTCCTATCTCATTGAGTCTAGCTTGGTTCTCTTTGGCCATGGTGATGTGGGTAGGATTGTCAATAGGTCAATTGTAAGTCTAGGCTTTAAGTGGCATGTTTACCATTCTATTAAGTGAAAGAAACCAATCACAAAAGACCACATGATTATTAGCAGACATCATATTCTGAGCATGGCCATTTTATTTTACATTTAAAGATTTATTTTATTTATTTGAAGTTACAGAAAGAGAGAGAGAGAGAATCTTCCATCTGCTGATTCACTCCCTAAAAGGCTGCAACAGCCAGGGATGGGCCAGGCCAAAGCAAAGAGCCAGGAGCCTCTTCTGGGTTTCCCATGTGGGTGCAGGGGCACATGGACTTGGGCCATCTTCCACTGCTTTCCCAGGTGCACCAGCAGGGAGCTGGACTGGAATTGGAGCAGCAGAGACTTGAACCAGCATGAGTATGGCCATTTTAAAAATGAAATAATTCTAGGCCGGCGCCGTGGCTCAATAGGCTAATCCTCCACCTTGCAGCGCCGGCACACGGGGTTCTAGTCCCGGTTGGGGCGCCGGATTCTGTCCCGGTTGCCCCTCTTCCAGGCCAGCTCTCTGCTATGGCCAGGGAGTGCAGTGGAGGATGGCCCAGGTGCTTGGGCCCTGCACCCCATGGGAGACCAGGAAAAGCACCTGGCTCCTGGCTCCTGCCATCGGATCAGCGCGGTGCTCAGGCCGCAGCGTGCCGGCCGCGCGGCCATTGGAGGGTGAACCAACGGCAAAGGAAGACCTTTCTCTCTCGGTCTGTCTCTCTCACTGTCCACTCTGCCTGTCAAAAATAAAAAAAAAAGAAATAATTCTAGAGACAATTGCTCAAACTATAATATTTTAATGAGTAGGTTAATTTTGCTTTTTTGTAGATAATATAATACAATTAAGTAATCCAAGTACATTAGTAACTAACTTGAGTTAGTTCCTAACTCCACAAATAGTGACACTATGACAACTGATTCCTTCCCATTAAGTTTTCCTTATATAAAAAGGCTTGGTATTTTGAGAGGATATGGTCTGATTTCTCATGTTAAGTCATCAGCAAATCCCACTGAGTTGTTAATATAAGATTTCTTGCTTCCAACTGTCAATTTAGAAACCCTATTTCATGAATGAATGGATAGGAGAAAGCATGATTCCTTGGTGAAGCTACAGCAACTGTTTCTCCATAGGAAGTAATTCATGTAAGTTCTTCCTCAAAGACAAATTTATAAAATATTATGAACTTTTGCTTTGATTTTAATGAACATAATTTCCTGATGCATTTTTAGGTATGTTTCATATACCTAACATGGTGCTTTCAGTCAAAGACTGAGTTATACTTTATCCAGATTTATTTCTCTTAATGTTTACTATAGATTGAAAAAAGTTTATTAAGCCACTGAATAATTCTATGAAAACCTATACTCACATAAATACATGCACATGCACATACTCTCAAAATTAACAAGACACACCAGAATCCAATAATCCTTTAGGATTCTACATATTTACATATACTACTATGTGTTATATTCATAATTAGCTAAATTTTTGAAAAGCCCTTTTTCTGAAAAAAAAAAAATACAAATTTGTCATTGAATCACCAGCATGCTTTTGAAGAAGCATACTTACAAAGCCATCCATGGCCCAATTTTCCTCCTTCATTTTCTTCACAGAAGCATGAGCTGGTACTTTAATAAGATATATGTGCAACATTAGGCGAGCTTCTTGACTTTTATATACCCCTGTAAAATACAAGGACATTTTAGTCTACTTAATTTTGTAAATAGTTAGGCTGTAATTTTATTATCTATAACTCCTTAGGCACATAATGTATGATATGTAATAGGAAAAGAAATAAAACCAGGCCCAAGTCAAGGCTGACTTTATACCCACAATAATTTTGACAAATCTAGCACTATCTATTGATATCTCTTTCAACTGAAATTTTCAACTTAAATCTCATCTAAGGGTCTCAGATTACTAGGGCATTAAAATTAATTCCTATTACTCCTAATAATATCATTTTCCGATTTCACAAATAATTTTCTTTTTTTCATAAAAATGTTTTTATTTATTTGAAAGCTGAATAACAGAGAGAGAAAAAAACACAGAGACAGACAGACACTCTGTCCAGTGGTTCATTTCCAAATGCCTTAAAGAGCAGATCCCGAGACAGTGAGGGTTATGAATCTGGAACTCCATGCTGGTCTCTTATGTGGGTAGCAGTGACCTAAGTACTTATGCCATCACTTGTTGCCTCTCTGGGTGTACATTAGCTGGAATTGGGAGTGAAACCAGAACTGAGGACCCGGCCACTCTGATATGGGATGCAAGCATCTCAAGACGCATATTAACCACTGTGTCAAATATCTGCCCAAATCACATTCCAAAGACAAGTAGGGGCAGTGTTGTGGTGCACTGTGTTAAGCTTCTGGTTGCAATGCCATCATCCATTATCTGAGTGCTGACTGAAGTGCTGGCTGTTCTGCTTCTGATCCAGCTTCCTGCCAATGTTCCTGGGAAGGCAATGGAAAATAGTCCAAGTACTTGGACCCTGCTTCCCACATGGGAGACTACGATGGAGTTCCTGGATCCCGGCTTTGGCTTTTCCTAGACTTGGCTGTTGCAGTTATTTGGGGAGTGAAGAGTGGATGGATGATTCTCTCTCTCTCTCTCTCTTTTTTTTTTTTTCTCTTTCTTTCTCTTTTTCTCTCTCTTTCTCTCTCTCTCTTTCTCTTTTTCTCTTTCTCTTTCTCTCGGTCTCTCCCAAACACTCTGCCTTTCAAATAAATAAATCTTCAAAAATAAATAAATAAAATCATCAAGTATACATATCAAAAGAATTGGGTCCCTGCTCTGAGAAATAGAGTAGTTTGGGTAATACTGGAACCAGAAATATGGAGATTGCTTGTTCTTATTTTTTAAAAATTTCCAGGTAGGAGGTATAAAAGAAGGTACAAAACTAACTAAAACATGTGTGATAAAATAATAAAGAAAAGGCCAGAAGAAAGAGGGATTATTTCACAAATGGACTGATCAGCAAATACTTATAAAAACCATTTAAACTGGATTTTGAAAATCGATTAAGATTTTTAGTTCAAGAGGTAAATACAGGTTATGACATAAAAGGTAGAAGTAAAAATATATACAATGTTTTTTTAAGTAGTCTAAGAGTAAGAATGAGAGGAGTCTAAATGTGTAGGAGGATAGTAGGCAACAGAGTTTTGAGTGTAAAATTTTGGAATTAACTGTTGAAATTTAATTGCATTCTCTGATTCGTTTAATCAGTCAATAATGTAATAAAACACATTATAATAATATGTTGGGGATACAAAATAAGATACAGATCTTGACCCAATATAAATTATAATCAATGGGAGAGGGCATGAGATTAATCATAACTAACAACACTGGAAATTATTATAATTTTTATATTAACAGTAAGTGAAAGAAATTAAATTAATCTAATTATTCATGTTTTTTTCCGTATTTTCATGAGTTTAATTTGAAGTCCTTCTATATTTGATTAATTATATATATATATTTGCTTTCATTTAATTCTTAAAAAGAATAAAGCAACAATTTTGCTTACACTTTGATACTAAATAATCACTAGACAAAATTTGATTTACTACTCTTATTCATATAAAGCTTCTTTGTATCTTGTGTGTATTTTTAAACTGTAATACACATTGAATTCTAGTATGTATATTTTTAGTTTAATACAGACCATTCAATAACATATAAAAATTCAAAACATCATCTAATATTTACAAGATCAATAGAAAATAATTGTATATCCCATTTCATTTACTAACAAATATATATTGTCAATAGTGATTTATGACCAAGAAGGTTATAATATATATTTCTTATTTGCACACTAAAATATTAGAGTGCTCAATTTTTTATAAATTAGAAAAAATAATTCAAATTCAATAATCTGACAATATTTATTAAAGTCTATTTTGTCCCAGAAGTTTGTCTAGCCTCTGGGGATATATTAATTAATTGAAGGTAAAAAGCTTTCTTCTTAGAGCTTAGGTTGTTGGAGTAAGTATAAATAATATGATATAATTTCCAATTGTAAAAAGAAATCATCTAAAATGGCTAACCCTGTCTTACCCTTTGGATATAGATTGAGTGTGTCTGACTTAATGCTTATTATATGGAGGTTATTTTAGAAAAGGGCATGGGAAGTACTACCTGAGGAGATGGATTAGAGAAAACATCTGAATATGAGGAAGAACAGAAATCAAAGATAAAGAGGTACATATGTACTAGATAGTGGAAATAGAAACAATGAAGTTGAGCATTCTCTGGGTCTTCTATTGCCAATCAAATGAATATTTCTCTGTTTTCTAAATTTTCAGTGTCCACCTAAACAATGATTTTGTGGCTATCAAATACTTTGGAAATCACTGACCTGGTTTCTAATTTTATAAGAATAGAAAAAGATTTGGTTGAATTAAAATTAACTTAAAATTTCTTTTCTATTATATGACATCAAATTCTAACTATATAACAATTTTTGAAGGAAATTTCAAAACCAGAGTTTCATATTTGTGTATTAATATCCATTCATCTACCCAAAAACCAAAAAGTCTTGTTTCCAAATGAATAACCAATATCATTTAAAACAAATGTTAAATGTTAACAAACTGTATAATACTAAGTAGTACAATGATGAACTTATGATAGAAATGAAGACAATGTTGTTATTGGTTTTGAATGTCTTACCTGAAAGTAGCAGTTCCATGTTGCTATTACTTAATGTTGCATTAACTCTTCCAGTGGAAGCATTGAAACTAGTAACTGTCAAAGTCATGGGTTGTTTCCTTCCTTTGAAATTATAGGAGCCTTTCCATATGTAATTTTGGGCAAACACATCATCAGGAACTGTAAACAAACCACACATTAATTTTATAGTGTTCTATAAGTAGAAGTATTAACTATTATATTAAAATATTACTTGTATAATGGTATTTTGCTAAATACTCAGTAATGCTGAAGATGTGTAATAAAATGAATTCTCCAAGTTAGAGTATGTCATAACTTAGAAACAATTAAAAGTGTAAAAACATAGGTTTGTTGATATTTCATCAATAATAGGGAAACAGATGATGCCACCTAAAGATATGAAGCTTATATTTATAACTCATGTAAATATAAACTTCACTTATATTTGGTGCCCTATAACATTATTTTCTATTATCAGAAAAATAAAATGATTTCACTGTACCAAGTCAATCCATGCATTTGTCAAAGAAGCCTGCTCCTCTCTTAATAGCAGGAATAGATTCATGGGAAGAAGAGCAAATAGTTCACTGCCCACCTCCACCTTTGCAAAAAGGCCCCGGGAGACTTTTAGGAGATTATACCTTTGCCCCCCTTACTTATGAGTTCAGTTATTGTGATAATAGAAGCTGCTGAAGAAAAACAAGACTGTATCATTTCGACAGCTTTACAGGTATTTTTAAAGGTATTTTTAGAAATAAAATAATTGTCACCAGAATTATCTAACTCTCATGGGAGAGAGGTGAAATGTGATAAAATACAGCAGAAAGGTTAGACAGTAGTCACTGGACTTAAGTTGCTTGTATTTAAGCCCCTCCTTTCTAAAAATTACAAACTGTCATTTTGCATAAACACTTAACTCTAATCCTGAATTTCTGCATGACTAACATGTTGTTAACATAGTGGGATATACAAATTGAATAAGACAATGAATGTGAAGCATTTAGATAATTGTTACCTGCCTCCACTATTGATACTTCATAGATAAAACAGGCTCACTAAATAACTGCTAATAAAATATATCTTATGCTAACATGCTCTTTTATTATCATAGTGGCATTCAGGAAGTTTTTACTGAGTGTTGAATAAATGTAAGTCTCAGAGATTTATGGGCACTGTACTTTTACATTATGCACATTGAAAATTCTGAATCCAACTAAAATTATATCCTAACACCATCCTTGGCCCAATAAAACTGGGCTAAAGCTGTCTCCAAGTTAAGGATTAGATGCTAAGCCCTTAGTTTTACATTAAGTTTTTCATTTATATCACATAAACAAAATATTAATGTGAAAAAGTAGTTCTTATATATGAAGACCTTACTATGGACACAGCACTTTACACTTCATTTTCATAAATCTCACTGTTCAATAATCTTATTCTTATTCATTTTTAGAGACAAGGATATTTAGATGATTCTAAACAATATTTCAGAATATCAACATTGTGGTGTTGCAATTGCAATCCTTTAAATTGAATATTTATAACATACATTTTCTAATTCAAGAGAGTCAGGCGCATAATTTTGCCATAATAAACATATTTTCCCAAGTAAATGGTCATTATACCAAGAAAACAATGGAACAATTACTTCCAAAAAGACAGATAAAATTACTAACCACTTAACTTTGGACTGGGTGTTCCTAGTGCAGGTCTAGGATCTTTCACCAATATTTTAGAACCAGCTATGAAAAGAAATGGAAGTGTTTAACAAACTTATATAATTAGAAACACACACACACACACACACACACACACAATGTGATACATTGCCAACTGTATTCCCTGATACTTCATGTGATTTTCTCTAAAATGCCTTGCTGTCCAGGACATCTCAATCCCCAACTCAACACTCTTGTTCAACAAATAACACCAACAATTACCCCCATTTTCATGCAGTAGTTTGGGGCAGATTAGTGCTGCCTTATCATCTTGGGATACTGTTTCTTTTTAGAGGTGTAGGAACACATGGAAAACAGTTGTTTCCAACATGGAAGCTGAAGGCAGAGGGTATGTGCCTGTTGACAAAAGGCAAAAAGTGTTGGGGTAGGGTTCTTTTTAAAAACAAAAATTTGTTAAAGCAGCTCATAGTGTACCTGAAATTTAATAACCTCAAAGGTGAAAATCTTTAACATTTTAAGCTAAATCCAAAGCATTCCAAACCCAGCAAATCATTTGGGTGCTGTGAGGGACAGCAAAAATTACAGTAGTTATGACATGCAATGCTTTGCAGGGCATGTGTTCTAAAAACACTCTAATGCCTTTAAAAGGCTTTAAGAGGAAGTATTCCAAAGTGGATGCACAGTTTAGAAAGGAGCAATTATTGATATAGCCAGAGAAGGCAAAAGGTTACTGTCCTAATCCCAGTAGAGATAATGCTGAGTTACATTACTATAATAGTGAAGGTAAAAAGAAAATACATTGATAAGAAAACTATGCAAATCATGGTGGATTTAGATAGGAAGATATCTAATGTGATAACTATACTCTTCGTTTGAATTATTACATAATTTATCACTGGGGTAGGTAATGCCAAAAGTAGATGAACATAGGGAAAAGAAATTTACAACTTTAGTTTTGCTTGCATGGAATACTGAAACATCTTTGAGAAATTCAACCAGGATGATAAGTAAGCAACAACATCCACAAACCTGAAGCTTAAAAAAAAAGATAAGATAAACGAGCCAGAAATATTAATCTATAAGTAATCATCATAAAGGATAGTATTGAAGCCATTGACTTGAATGATATCTCCTTGGATAGGATACCGAACAAAATGAGCAAATGAAAAAGTTCTGAGCCTTTAGAAAATTATGAGTAGAAAATAATACATTTATAAAGGAAATGGAAAATGGATATAAGAATTGGGAAGGAGCAAAGCACTCATTCATTCCAAATACATATACTGAACACTTTTTAAATTTAAGGCACTGGTATAAGACATTGATCAAGAAGACAGTATTGCAGGTAAAACATTTTGAACAAATTCTGTTGTTACTGAGATTATATTCTAGATTAGCAAGGGCAGATAAGACAGGAGAGTTGAAACAAATGATGACAAGCAAAGAAAGAAAATAGTAAAAAGTTATAATACAGTAAGGATTTCAATCATGAACACAGGTTTAGAAAGGAAAAATAGGCCAGCGCCGTGGCTCAATAGGCTAATCCTCCGCCTTGCAACGCCGGCACACCAGGTTCCAGTCCTGGTCGGGGCGCCGGATTCTGTCCTGGTTGCCCCTCTTCCAGGCCAGCTCTCTGCTGTGGCCCGGGAGTGCAGTGGAGGATGGCCCAAGCGCTTGGGCCCTGCACCCCATGGGAGACCAGGAGGAAGAACCTGGCTCATTCTGTATTCTAAATTCATAAAAAAATCTTTACTAAATTAGAAGACCTAAAGAAACTTTGTTGAATATAAGGAAAAGGGTTTTATTGATGACCTTATCAAGAATTTTAATTTTTTTCTTTCTCCTTCTTCTAGTGGTATAACCCTTTCCTATGGTATACTCATTACATCTTGTCCAACTGGGAACTGTCCTGAGCAACTAGCACTTCACCCAGAACAAGTCAGAGTAACAATAATAACTTTATCTGAGTAAGATCTGGGGATAAGCTCAGTTCATAATCGCAGCAATCATAGTCTTAAATACTACTTTTCTGACCAAAATGTGGGAACAGTCTTTCTATTAGGGCCACTCCAGCAGAAGGGATTGAAACCAGGAATGCCGGTAGCACTTTTTAATACTCTAATGGGTCAAATGTTGTACCTCCCAAATTTTATGTTCACCTGGAATGTCAGAATATCATCTTATTTGGAAATAAATTTTTGAAAATATAGTTAGTCAGAGATCTTGAGAAGAATTACTCCTCAAATGCAGTGACTTTTATCTTTCAAGAAGAGGAGAGCATGTAAAGAGAGCTACACATGAAAGAAGGCATTATGAAGATGGAGGCAGAAGTGTTAGTGAGATTATGAACCAAGGAACACCAATATTGTCAGGGCTTCCAGAAGATGGGAAGAGGCAAGGAATGATTCTTGCCTGGAGCTTACAGAGGGTGTAAGTTCCTGACAATACCTTCACCTGGTCTTCAGGACTGTGAAAGGAAAGGGAAAAAAAAATGTTGTGTTTAACCAACTAGCTTTGGTACTTTGTGATCATGGCCCTAGAAAATGAGTTGACCTATCTGGGAGAAGTGAGCTTGAAGAAATAATAATGCAAGAATAACATCAGTATGGAATGGAAGCTACTAGAAAAATCTAAGTATTATTTCCATGCTCCTGAATTCAGAGGTTTCACATTACTCAAACTCTTCATTGGAGTTGGCCAACAAAGTTTCTTGTTCAAAGCTAACCTGAGTTTTGTTTCCATCTCTTGCCTCCAAGGAGCACCTAACAGTAAAATCTGTGCAAAAAGTTTCTAAAGAGAAAACTTACCTTCACAAATAGGGACTTTTCCAGTCCAGGTGTTATCAGATCTGCATACTCTATGTTCTGTTCCACCTGCTAAGAAGAAGCCTGGCTGGCAAGTATAGATTAGTGTATACCCATGGGACGGAAGGTCCATTCCTACTACATTTGCATGAGCAGGAGTTTCTGGTTGTTTACAGCTGTGGGCTATATTAAGAAAGAGAATGACATTAAAATTCCATAGTCATGTCAAGAAAATTTTGAGATAGAAATCACAATATATATTTCAGACATAGTTTAATGCAAATTTCCTCCAGAAGACACAGAATTTAAAAAGATGGGGAAGAGGGGCTGCTGCTGTGGCATAGTCGGTGAAGCCACCACCTGCAGAGCCGGCATCCCATATGAGTGCCAGTTCGAGTCCTGGCTGCTCCACTTCCAATGCAGCTCTCTGGAATGGCCTGGGAAAGCAGTGGAGGATGGCCCCAGTCCTTGAGCCCTTGCACCCATGTGGGAGACCCTGAAGAAGCTCCTGGCTCCTGACTCTGGATCAGCGCAGCGCTAGCCATTGCAGCTAATCCAGCAGATGGAAGACCTCTCTCTCTCTGCCTCTGCCTCTCCTTCTCTGTGTAACTCTGACTCTAAAATGAATTAATAAATCTTTTTGAAAAAAAAAATATGGGGAAAATACAAAGAGAGGAAACTGGAGGGAAAGAAGAGACAAATAGTTGACCATTTGAAATTTGTTTCTAACTGTATATTAGAAAATACCATTTAGTAACATTGAGCTTTACTTTTATCAATTTCTAAAAAAGGTGTTCTCGACTTAGGATCAGGAATAATTAAGGGGTCAGGAGACCCTGAAAGCATTTTTGTGTCTAAGAATATTTTTATTCATAGATGTTTCTAGTTTTCCCCAGATTCTCAGACTTTTTTTATAAGTGATTTTTAAAAGTAAGAGTTATTAGAGTACTTCAAATTGATAGATACAGATCTCTGAACCTAAAAGCTAATCATCACCCAAAATTACCAGGTATTCAAACTAAACCCAATTATGAAAGCTTTCTAGAAAGAACAAAATTGTGTCTCATGCCTTATGACTTCTTCTGAGAGTGCTTCCCCTTGGAATGGCTTACTATATAGTAATCCAGTTACATGCATGACGTATTTCATAATAATCTAGAAATCAATTTACATCTGGTATATTGATACAACTATATTTTCACAGCTGGAAAATTGAAAGATAGAAGGCATATTCATTCCCATGATAAGAATAATCTGTCACCCAGCATACTTACGCAGGCATTCAGGCTGAATTCCACTCCATGTAAGGTCAGGGAGGCAAGTGCGAGTAGTAGAACCTTGGAGAAGGTGTCCTTTTTTGCAGTGGAACTGCACAACACTTCCCACCTATGGCAATTGAAAGAGGAAAAGAAATGAACAAGTCTAACATCAAATATAGCAACTAATAGAAAAAACAAAAACAAAAACAAAAACAAAAACCCTTACTGAAGGTTGTTGTGGTAACAGAATGATACATAGGAAGTCACCCATTTTGCACTAAACTTTTAAGGTTGTCGAATTTAGATAAACACATAGGGCAACTGTTCTCAAAGCATGGTATCCTCATTAAATCATCAATATCACCAAGGAACTTGCAAGAAATGCAAATTCTGGGGACTTACCCTAAAGCCACTGAGTCAGAAACTCTTGGGGTGGGGACCAGCAGTTTTAATAAAGCCTTCAGGTGATTTCAACAAACACTAAAGTTTGACAGTGAGTGACATATAAGTAGAGAAGATAAGAACATGATGAAAAATTCTATGTGACTTAAAATATGCATCATGTTTTATGAAAAAAGTACATTTGATAGATTGGCATGTATAATTCAAAAAGTGAACAGGGAAGTTGAGGGTAGATAAAGTGGGATGCAATGGGGCATAGGAAATAAATTAGCAGACCTTAGAGTAATGTATATGTGGTTTTAATTCTAGACGTGGCTTTATTTTATTAAGTCATATTGCCTCTTTGAGACTTTGGTTCTCATGTATAAATCATATTGTTTTTGTCTTGAGATTTGTTTTAAGGATTAAATTAAATACCCTGGAAGAGCACATAGATTTTAAATAAATTCTAGTTATAGTAACTTACAGCTAGTTATAATAGTTATAAATTGGGCACCTAAATAAGAATCAGTTTCTGAGGAGCCTCAACTAGCAGGCAACAGTATTTGAAAGAATGAAGATCAGTTATTCTGTTTATGAAGCAGACCACTATCATTTGAGATTAAAGTGGAAAGAGCTGGATTAATTTGAGACATTAAGTCTGGGAAGGAAGTCATATAGTCAAAATATATTACTAGGAAAAATCAGCAAAATTGACTAAATATTAATGGTGGAAGACAAGATAAGAAATAGTTAGGTCTGCTACTAAAGGCTTCCTTAGCAAATTGTATCTGAGAAGGCACATCACTATTTTCATACTTGTTAGTCAGACCCTGTTTTCTGCCTTCCTGTTAGTCTACTACCACCAGCCAAAGGCACATGAGACTGACTAATGTGATGTAATCTGATACAGTGGTTCCACTTGGATCTTTGACTAGCTAAATACCATCATTTATCCTATAGTCATTATTATCCAAAACTATTTTATACAAGAACTATTCAATTTCAATAATCAATGTCTTAGGACAACCTTTATCCTTCTAGTTATCTAATGATGTGTCACTTTTCACTTTAGACTCTGAAGACTACCTCTTGATGCCCCAATGTTACTGTATTGACTGACTCCAAGAGCCACCACAGAGACAGTATTTGTTATGAGTCCCCTGAACTGTGCTTCAGAATAGACAATTTACATATTCACTCAAGTTGTGCAATATGGCATAACAGATTTTGGTTTATTTGATTGATTATATACAGTTTTCAATTCTGTTCTTCAGTAAAACTGGTTCTACAATATCCAACTTAGATAAATTAGATTTTTGTTGATCATGACATATTTTACCAATTTATATTCTTCTCATTCAATTCACCACCAAATACTGACAATGACACCTCCAAGTCTTTCTCATGTAGTCCCCTTCTGTCCATCCCCACTTACGTATCCAGTTTTAGTCCTCAACATCTTTCCTTAGAGGCTTTGGTTCTCAAACTTTAGCATCACAGTTACCAGGAACATCTTATTAAAACAGACAGCTGAGCCCCCTCACCAGAGTTTCTAACTTTGTAGATCTGGAGCAGATCTCAAAACCCCTTTTCCAACAAATTTCCATATTTTTAAAGGTTTTTCAGCTGTTGGGATAAAGTTACACTGACCTCTGTAACCTGACCACTGACCATCGCTGTAGCGTCATTATTAACCATTTAACAAGTATATACATTGTGCTCAAGTAATCTTGAACTTTGGATCCCAGAATGCATGGCTATTTTTATGCAGTTATTTCCACATGAGATGCTTCTCCTAACTTTCTTTCCTAGTTCTTACACTAAAAGATTTGGCGAAAACATCATCGCTAGAAAACTTTCCCAGGAGCAACAAATTAGGAAAAATATCTTTTTTGTGTATCTCCTTAACAACTTGCAGTTATTCTATGAAATCATCCATTCCAACTGACCCATACAGCTCCAAAATATTAGTTTGTTTTCGCCAGACTGTGTGTTTTCACCCTTGTTCACTCAGAGCTTAGAAAATGTTGGATAAAGGAAGAAATTCTAATTATTTAGCATAAAATTATTTGACTATTAAACTTAAGACTATTTTACTAAACAAAGTGAAGTTATATCGTGTGCTACTTTAGATAAATTTAAATCATTCTGTTACTCCTTAAAGGGTAAATTGGGGTTATTTCATCAAATCTTTACATTAATCAGATAAGAGAAAATGCTGGATTAAATAAAATTTTGTCTTTTTACTATACGATCCCCCCAATTGTAAATGTTCTGAAGTCACAATAACCATTGCTTTAAGTATTAACCAGACACTGTAGAATTTTAATTTATTTAAGGGGGCCATGCAATGAGTTAGGCTGCCACTTAGAACACTAGCATCCCATATTGAAGTGCCAGTTCAAGTCCCAGCTACTTTGCGTCCGATCCATCTTCCTGTTAATGCGACTGGGAAAGCACCAAAAGATGGCCCAAATGCTTGGGCCACTACACGCACATGGGAGGCCAGGATGGAATTCCAGGCTCCTGGCTTCGGCTTGTCCCAGCCCCAGCTATTGTTGATATTTGGGAAGTAAGCCAGTGGAAAGAAGATCTTTCCCCCTTTCTCAGTAATTCTTTAAAGAAATAAATAAATCTTTAAAAATCTTCTTAAAGATGTTCTATGTATCATTACCATTAAGATTTTTGTTAGAATCACAAATATCTATATCAAATATCTAATGTAAGGAGAATGATGCAAATTTAGTAATTTCAGAATTCAGAATTTGTTTAGCCAAAGTCATCACCAAATATTTTCTCTAATTATGAGTGCATTAGTAAAGAATTTGTCAATAATGTTTACTTAATAATATATTTTACATAAGTCTCCATCCTATCTATCCATAAGTCTCTATCTCTATTGATTGATCTGACTCGAAATAACAATTAGCATACATAATATAATTTAATTCTAAAAAGTAAAGATATAAAAATTACATTACCAAATTATAAAAATTCTAAGGACAGAGCCAGCATTGTGGTGCAGCTGATTAAAGTCCCAGCCTATGGTGCCAGCATCCCATGTGGGTGCCAGTTTGAGTCCCAGCTGTTCCACTTCCGATTCAGCTCCCTACTAATGGCTTGGGAAAGAGTGGTGGATAACTCTATTGCAAGGCCCCCAGCACCAATGTGGGAGACCAAGAAGAAGCTCCTGGCTCCTGGCTTCAGATTGGCCCAGATACGGGTTGCTGGAGCCATTTTGGATGAGCCAGTTGATAGAAGATGTGTCTCTCTCTCTGTCTACCTTTCTCTCTAACTCTGTCTCTCAAATAAATAAAATAAATCTTTTTTAAAAATTCTAAAGAAAGATAAAATTCATTTAACAAGCAATTTTCACTAATATTTACTAATAAAGTGCTCAGTACAAATAATTATATGCATTGTGAAAATTAATATTAAGAAGTTTTTTCTATCAGTAATTTAAAATAATTAACATCAAGTATCAACAACAATCAACATTTAAGTGAAAATCACATTAAATTGATTCAAATTAGGATGTTGGGGCCAGTGTTGTGGTGTATCATGTACACCTGCCTTCTGCGACATTAGCATCCCCAGCAGCTCCATTTCTGACCCAGCTCCCTGTGAATGGACTGGGAAAAGCAGCAGAAGTGGTACAAGTGCTTGGGTCCCTACTACCCACTTGGGAAACCTAAATGAAGTTTATGGCTCCTGAAATCAGCCCAGCTTGTCACTGCCAACCTGGGAGTGAATTAATGGATGAAAAATCTTTCTCTCTTTCTCTGTAACCATGACTTTTGCATAAATAAATAATTCCTAAAAATAAATTAACACGTTATGTAAAATGCAGTACAGGATTTCAAGACACGAAGGCTGGTGCTGTGGCCTATTGGGTAAAGCCGCCACCTGTGATGCCAGCATCCCATGTGGGTATTGGTTTGAGTTCCTGGCTGCTCCCACTACTGATCCAGTTCCCTGCTGGGAGTGCAACAGAGGATGACCCAGGTCTTTGGGCCCCTGCACACACATGGGAGACCAGGAAGAAACTCCTGGCTCTTGGGTTTGGACCAGCTCAGCTCTGACTGTTGTGGCCATTTAGGAAGTAGACCAATGGATGGATGATCTTGCTGTCTCTCTTTCACATGCTCTCTCTGCAGTTCCTTCAAATAAATGAATAAATCTTTTTTAAAAAATAATTTTAATTAATTATTTGTATTAATTCTAATTAATTAAATTAATTAATTAGCAAATATCATTATCCTCCTTAACTCTTTACTCTATTTTGAATGTTTTGTCTTAGTTCTTAGATCTTGATTTTTTCAACAAATCACATAATTAATAGATATTCTTCATACATTTAGGATAGATACTTAATATCTCTCTTTAGTTTTCATGAAATTTTAAAACAAATGACTTAGCTTGCTGGAATTTTCATCATTCCAATAATTTATATTTTTTAGGATTTTATTTATTTATTTGAGAGGTACAGTCACAGACAGAGAGAGGGAGAGATGGAGAGAAAGGTCTTCCATCTGCTGGTTCATTCCCCAAATGGCAACATCCAAAGCTGAGTCAATCCAAAGCCAGGATCCAGGAGCTTCTTCCGGGTCTGTCACATGGGTGCAGGGGCCCAAGCACCTGTGCCATCTCCCACTGCTTTCCCAGGCCATGAGCAGAGAGCTGGATCAGAAGAGGAGCAGCCAGGACACAAACTGATGCCCACAGGGGATGCCGGAGCTGCAG